CCCAAACACTATTAGAACAAATCCCTCTATTCGTTAAGAGAATGTATCTACATATCTTTCCTAACCATTTTGAATACACAGATGCAAAATGGACATTAATCTGTATCTGCTTTTTTGTTTAATTCTGTCATTTGAATATTATAGGTGTGTAAACTCAGCAAAATATTCTAAAAGAGTCCAGTAGTCCATAATAGTATTGGGTCTTCTGCTTGACTGGCAATATCAGAAGTTGTTGACCTGAGTTCCCTACAGCTCAACATAACACCATGGCTTTACTTCTTATACTTAATTTTTATACTTTTCTGCTGGATGGTTAAGGCCAAGATAAAGCAAGAACTATGCAACAAGAGTTGTAGCTTTTGGATCTGATAAGGTCAGTGAAATCCCCTCAGGATTTATCCTGAGATCCTGTACCTCAGATTGTAGATCCTTTGTCAGTGTCGCCCTGTGGATCAGTCATGGCCATTGCTTGGCCAATGTGCTCTCTGTGAAAGACTGAGAGAATGTTTTCCCTCCATGTGACTCTCCTTAGGCACACTACATCATTGATCACTTTCCTCTTTGGCCCCATAATCTCCTTGATCAGAAAATTTGGGACACTACTGCATTACATGATGTTACAGTACAAGTTCTCATATGTCCTGAGTCTTAACTGACCTTGGAAGGCTAGGGCCAAAATGTTGGCTTTCATTGCGGCCCTACTGTTCATTGAATTCTGAAGTTTATTTTTACTTTTATAATCTATGCTGTTTATTTCAAGGTAGCTTGGCTAATATCCTGATATATTTTGGTCCGTATAATAGTTTACATATCATGGAGAATATTTATTCCTCAAAAATTTGCACTTTTCAGTAATGTTCATTGTCCCCGGAATTAATTTTGAGATTTTTTTTTTTTTTTTTTTTCAGAACCAGGGTTTGAACTCAGGCCCTTGCTCTTGCCAGGGAAATGCTTATTCTACTGAGCCACCTCCCCAGCTGGAGATCATTCTTTAATAACATTTTATTGATTTACTTGTGCCTGTAGTATTTCTTGATTCTTTTTTTAATTTTTTAAATTATTTTTATTTATTGA